AACTGCGTGCGCCACGGATTGTTAGGAGCACTGCGGCGACCGCAAATCGGAACGACACCAAACATTGCAGTCAAGAAGTGCTCATGCAGATCCATGCTCAAAAACACACGCTGCATAAACTTAAGCCTTGAGATGGTGATTTCGAACAGCCAGTGTGCCGGCAAGTTGCGTCGCGCATTCAGCGTCAACGGCGATTACGGCTACACCTAGTTACACCTAGATACGAGTAGTTACACCTAGTTACACCCAGTTACACGCAGTTACACGCAGTTACACGCAGTTACACCCAGATACACCCAATTAGACCCAGTTACACCTAGTTACACCCAGTTACACCCAGTTACACTTAGTTACACCTAGTTACACCCGGTTACACCCAGGTACACCCAGTTACACCCAGTTACACTTAGTTACACCTTGTTACACGCAGATACCCGTATTTACACACAGTTACACCTAAATACACGTAGTTACACCTAGTTACACGTAGTTACTATCTGACGGCAGGCCCTGGTGCGGCGAAGCGCCGGTAGGCAATCACATGTGGATCCGCAGACGGGGGCGCGGGGGGAAATTACGTACAAAACTAATCATTTGTACGGAATTCCCCCCGTCTTCTTTGGCGCGGCCGACGACGATGACGACGACGACGACCAAGCCGCCGCCGACGCCGACGACGACGGCGACGACGATCGTGACGACCAAGACGACCATGACGACGACGAAGACGACGAAGACGACGAAGACGACGATGATGACGAAGACGACGACGTTGACGACGACGACGACGACGACAACGACGACGACCAAGACGACAAAGACGAGGACGAAGACGACGACGACGACTCTCGTCTTTCGGCATTTGGACGCTCCAAGACAGCCAAAGAGTTTTCCAAGATCGCCTCAAGACGCCCCATGACGGCTCGGGAGGGACCCAAGACTCCCGGAGGTCTCCAAGACGGCTCAAGAGGCACCCAAGACGGCTGCAAAATAGAGCTCGGACGGGCGAGCCGAACGGAAATTTCGGGCTCTCGCATCCAAGACGCTCCAAAGAAGGTCAAGAGGTGTCCAAGAGACGCCCAAACAGGGTCCCAGAGGCCATAAGGCGACCGAGTGGTTTCAAACCTTCTTCGAAGAGGCCTCCGTCTACTCCCCCTCCTCCTCTTTTTTCTCCTCCTCCTCTTACCCGTTGTCCCCCGATCTCATCCTCCACTTCCACCCCATCCTCACCATTCGTCATCCTCCTCCTCCTCCTTTGCCTTCTCCTGCTCCTCGTCCTTTTTCCCCTCCCATTCCTCCTCTTCATCTCCTTTCCTGCCTCCCTCTCTTCCTCCTCCCTGCCTCCCTCTCTTCCTCCTCCGCCTCCGCCTCGTCCTCCTCATCGTCATCATCATGAAAATCACCACCACCAGTACCATCACCATCACCATGACGATCATCATCATCATCAGCATCACCATCATCATAATCATCAGCATCATCGTCATAATCCTCACCATCATCATCATCATCATCATCATCATCATCACCATCATCATCATCATCATCATCATCACCATCATCATCATCATCATCATCATCAGCATCATCATCATCATCATCATCATCATCATCATCATCATCATCATCATCATCATCGTCAACATCACCGTCATAAGGCTCCCATACACCAAATCACACGGTGTACCCATCGCAGCCGATGAGGCTACGCGCTACTGCGCACAACTAGGTGTAACTGAATGCACGTGTAGACAATTGAAAGCAGACGAACGTAGCCGAGTGTAGCCCCAGCGTAACTTAATGTACCTAAGTGTAACTGAATGTACACCACCCACGAGCAAACGGTTCCCGACTGTAACGGGCTGCCCCTGGGTGTAACCACAGCACAAGAGGCCCGCCGCAGGCGCCGACTTCGAACACCAAACATATGAGTGCAACAGGATGTAACGGGGTGTCATTGAGCGTAACTGAATGAAACTGACTGCAACTGAGTGTAACTGGGTGTAACTAACTGAGTGCACGGTAATGTAACCTAGAGAAACTCAATGTACGCGCTGGGCAGTTAAAGGGATATCGGCGGAAGGCTCCCATACACCAAATCACACGCTGTACCCATCGCAGCCGATGAGGCTACGCGCTACCACGCGCAACTGGGCGCAACTGAGTGTACATAAAGACAACTGAACACAGCGAACGTAGCCGAGTGTAGCCCGAGCGCAACTTAATGTAACTGAGTGCAACTGAATGTACACCACCCACGAGCAAACGGTTCCTGACTGCAACGGACAGCCCCTGGGTGTAACGAGGGTACAAGAGGCCCGCCGCAAGCGCCGATTTCGAACACCAAACATTTGAGTGTAACTGAGTGTAACTGAATGTAACTGGGTGTAACTGAATGTAGCTGAGTGCAACGTAATGTAGCCTAAAGAAACTCAATGTAAGTGCTGGGCTGTTAAAGGGATCTCGGCGGAAGGCTTCAATGCACCAAATCACACGTAGTACCCATCGCAACCGATGATACTACGCGCAACCACGCGCAAGTGGGTGTAACTGAATGTACGTGAAGACAACTGAAAACAGCCGAGCGTAGCCGAGTGTAGCCCGAGCGCAACTTGGTGTAACTGAGTGTAACTGAATGTAGCGTAGTGGGGCCCAGCGCAACCCTGCGCCACCTGCCGCAACTTAGCGTAACTGAATGCAACTGAGTGTAACTGAGTGTAACTGAGTGGAACTGAGTGTAACTGAGTGTAACTGAATGTAATTGTGTGCCACTGGGTGTACCTGAGTGTAACTGGGTGTAACTTAATGCACCCGAGTGTAACTGAGTGTTCGGTTGCCGCCCGGGCCGGCGCCGGCCGCGGCCACAATGCGAACAGCGACGGTGCAATTCTCAACCACTTCCAGACCTCGGCGTTAGGTTTTGATCGGTGTTTCATATCGTCGCCATCCTTGGTCTTAGTGGATTCCTCTCCGCGCATGAGTTCGCGCCCTTTGGCAATGATGAATTTGTCAAACGATCGGTAATCGGATGGTCCAAGAGCAAGCGCAATCACCGCAGAAAACAATCCGCTAAGGACAGCTGCGCGGATGACAAGCAGCCGAAGGCGAGCAGGCGACCCTGACGACCAAAAACCACCAAAGGCACGGTACGCCCTCTCTGCTTTGTAAAGTCTGCTTGGTTTTCCGCTGCAAAACTTGCACTGTAATGCAGGTGGGGGGGGGGGGCCGAGGTACCTTGCGTCACATGCAATTTTCCCAAAACTGGTCATGCCTTGTTCAGCCATGTCTTTGGCCAATTCTCGCGCTGTGAGAACCGAGCCTTTTCCGCGAAGAGACAACACTGACACTTTTTCACCCGTATGAAGGGCAACGCCTGCACGTTGAGCCCTCCCTCCCTCCCTCCCTCCAGCCCTCCCTCCCTCCCTCCCTCCCTTCCAGCAGCGTTGACGGGAGCAGGGCAGAAAACGCTCGACGGCGGCGGCATTCCGAAGGGGCGAGAGTGGAGACCACGACAGGTTCGGGCCCTCGGGAGCCGCAGATCTGGCCAGAACCTTCCCCCGAAAAACGCCAACCCTGGCAGCTCAAACATGATGGAACATCGCTGACATGTTCGCGGAAAGCTCTCCTCGGCGGCGTGCCCAGGGGGGAGTGAGAAGGAGCAGGTCTTCTCAAAGGCGGCGGGGCTTCTCGAAGCCCTTCGGCCTTCCGAGAAATCTTCGGTGTCCTCGGGAAGGCCTGGAAAGCATCTCAGATGAGAGGGCAGAGAAAAACACATCTGTTCGTGCTGTTTCTCCAGTCTTCTTTACTATGCCATCGCGGATATGCGGGGCAGCCCGCGCCGCTTCAAGAAGCCATGCGGAGCCCAAGGGTGTGCAGAGCAGCTGCGTGGCGAGAAAACACACACGGAAAAAAGCAAACACAAAAAACACCCCGACGAGCGAGGCCCCTTAGAAAGCGCACACAGGGGAGGGATCGAACAGGGCGGGGCTGTTTCGTACACGCTCAGGGCCTTCAGCAAACGCGAATTATCCGGGTCGGGGTGATTTTTCCTCCCTTGCCAAAAGAAACATGAGGAGAAGGGAGGAGGAGGAGGAGGAGGGAGGAGGAGGGAAGAGGAGGGAGGAGGGAGGAGGAGGGGGAAGGAGGGAGGAGGAGGGAGGAGGGAGGAGGCCTTCCGAGCCTTCTGAGAAAGCCCACCCCTTCTCGCTTCCCCCCAAGGCGCGCCGCCGATCTCCAATGATAAAACCTTCGCGCAGATCGCCAAGAGAGTACCGTCCGCCTGCCCTGGTTAGCGTTTCTCCATCGGTGTTCTAAGAAACTTGCCCAGAAAACGCCACAGCATCATTCCCACGCATGTGCAAGTCGAACGAAGAGTCTGCCGCGGAAGCAGGCCCAGATGTTTGTCGAGATAGCGGCGGCTGCAAGTCGCCAGGCTCTGGCTGGCATTGCCAGCGGCACGCCAGGATCAGATCGTAAAATCCGATCGCATCAGAACGTGCGTCGGGTAAGGCTGCATCGGCATGAAGTGAAAATCGAGTAGAGTCGGCTGCGCCAGGATGCAAAACAGCGCCATGCAAACATCGGGCCGCATCGGATCGTCGAAACATCGGAAACGAATCGGATCGGGCCGGCTGGAATCGATACCGAATCGGACCGATCGGATCGGAACAGGCCCTGACCTCGGCTTTCGGGTCACAACTCTAGCCTCCCGCAGCCGTTCGGGACCATTCGGGCAGCCACGGAACGCTCTCGGCGAGGCGCAGCTGCTTGAACGCATCCCGAGATAGAAAAACCTCCCCAGAAACCGACGAAAACGTCCGAAGACTCGACATCGACAGCAACGACAACGACGACAACGACGACGACGACCACCACGACGACGACGACGACGCGTCCTGGCCCGACCCGACCCGACCCAACTGGCACGGCCCCCCAACACGGTTGAACCCATCCGCCTTCCTCTTTCTCCTCCGCCGCAAGAGCCCGCCTATGCGCGGGGCCCAGGGGAGCGGGCTCGCTCGCGGCGAGCAGCGCGCCCGCGAGGGCCTCAGAGCTGCCTTTTTCAGCCATCTGCCGCGGCCGCCGGTGTGGCACGAAGGCCACACCCAATCTCCGACGCCCTGATCCCTGACCCCCTCGCGCTACGAAAAGATCACGACGGGAGGTCTTTCGGTGTTTTCGGCCTGCGGGGGCCCTTAGCAGGCCTCGTGGCCGTCGAAAGACGACTCAGGATGAAAAACCGGTCCCAGGGAAGGGGTCCAGACCTCTGGGGGTCGAGGTTTACAAAGAAAAAAAAAATGGCGGGGGTCTGAGAGCGTTCCAATCCCAGCGTTTCTCCTCGAACTTGGTCTCCAGGGCCCGTTGTCGGGCGCCCGGGCCATGCAGAGTGGGTCTGGGGCGACAAACTGCGGCCTCTCGGGGAAGGCTGGAAGGAGCAGCTCTTCCTCTCCACAGGACAACCACAACCACATGGTGCGATGTAGGCCCTCAGCGCACGCGCGTGCTGCTCGCGTCACGAGCCGAGTGACAAGATCGCCAGCAGGTCCGCGACCACCCCAACCGAGAGGGGTAAAGGCCAACGCCGCACCATGCAGCGCTGTGCCGCCGAAGCTGCGGCCCAAAAGCAAGCGCAAAAGGGAGGACGAGAAAGAGGAGGAAGAGAGAAGGAACACAGAAGAAGGTGGCTCCCTAAGTATGTGATGGCAGCCCCTGCCATACACCACAGCGTTAGAGAAGGAAGGGGGAAGGGAAAGTTGGGGACCGCACATTGGTTTGTTCAGTCCCACCGTTGTTACTCGGTCTCGATCCTGGGGGCTGTTTTCGGGGCCCGTGGACCAGCAATAGCGAGCATGATGACTCCAACCTCGAGCACCGCACGTCTTCGCAGCAAGGCTACGCCGCAGCGCGGGGCAAAAGAGCCGGCGGCGGCCTTCCGATCGCCAGAACGGCGTGGCGCCACCCAGCGGGTGTGGGGCCCCGTGGAAGAGGGGAGGCGATGCGAAGAGGAGAGAAGAGAAGAGCGAGGAAACGCAGGGGAGATGCAGTGAAGACAGCAGCAACGTCAGCAGCAGCAGCAGCAGCAGCGGCGGCAGAAGCAGCAGCAGCGGTGGCAGCAGCGGCGGCAGCGGTGGCAGCGGCGGATGGCGACAGAGGTGGCGGCGGCGGCGGCCGCGTCAGCAGAAGCAGCGGCAGCGGCAGCGGCAGAAGCAGCAGAAGCAGGCGCGAGAGAGGCGGGCGCAAAAGCCCACTCCAGCCTCCATGTCGGACTCGCTTGCGGCGACAACGGCGCCGCGCAGGGCCTCTAGGGCCCAATCGGGCTCGCTGGCCGCCAGCAGCGCACTGCGCACCGCCTCCGAGGGCCTCGAGTGCGCATCCGCTGGTCCCGTCCTCGCGTGCGGCAACACACTTCCACTCCAAGATGAGACGTGCTCTCTAGCATCAGTGCACCATCCAAGTCGATTTCTCATTGTCGTTTTTGAACGCAACAGCAACAGTTCCATCACGCACGCAACGTAGTGCAAGGGCAAAAAATACAAAGTCGGCAGCAAAACACCCTGCAACAGCCGTGCAATAAACCACTTCTTAAACGCACCTCTCGGGTTGACCCTTTGCCAGCCGATGTGTACTGACAGAGGTACCTCCCGACAGGTGAACCAATGCCAGCAGCCGCTCGCTGCAGGCTGCTTCGAGCCCACAACGCAAGCCCAACGAGACAGCTGCCTATTGCGTGGGTAGCGCGAGATCAAGCAACTGAGCGGTTCACCTGAACCAGCCCGATACTGTGCCAAAAGCATTGTTGATAATGCTCCCTGCTGCGTCAGCCAACGACGCGATGTCGTGCGTTTCCTTGAACTCTTGCCAGGCCGCCTTGGCCAGAGCGCCATACTCTGCGACTTGACTCTTGAGTTCGTCCGTGTCAGGGAGCTCCAGCTGGAACGTGTTCCAGAACTCCTCGGCCTGCTTCTTGATGCCGTCGAGGGTGATGCCATGAGCCTTCAGCGCATCCTCCGTCTTGCCCTGAACCTCATGGAGTTTGTCATGGAGCTCGTCAGGGAGATTGTCATGAACGCACGCGGCAACGTCCGCCCTGCTTCTTCACCTCGTCCAGGTTCACAGTGGAAACAAGATTGTCCCACTGATCCAGGAACTTCTCATTCACCTCCGCCGCTGGGTACGCCTTCTTCAGTTTGTCGAGCTCCGCGAAGAGCTTCTCCTTGATCTCATCGACGGCGTTCTCGACGGTCTGCTTGAGCTCGTCGATTTGCGCGGAGCCCGTCAGCCGGTCCCACACGTCGGACATCTGACATGCGGATGGACTTCCTCACGATCGCCCTCCTGATCGTGACGTGCGTCTTCTCCTGCGCAGCGCTGCTCTAGGGTGGGAGGGCCGTCTTCGCGGTGGGGCCGATGGATGCCTGCGCCACTTGTCTCTGCAGAAGGGCAGCATCATTTTCGCCTTCCCCTGCATCGCACTCGCCGCTATTGCACGGCTCTGTGCGATCTTCAGCCGCGGCAGGGAGATGAGGGATGCAATGATATCGCAACCATACCAAGAATTTGGCCAGAATCGTGACTGAGAGGTGCACCCGCAACGTGCTCGACCTGCTCGAGCCAAGATGCTCGAGCCAAAACGGCTGCGGATCGGAGGCGAAATCTCGTGGAAAGCGCACGGGCCAGCGACAGCAGTGATGGCGAGCCACGACGACAGAACTTGGTCAGGAATAGAGCTGGCAATCCGAGGTCACACGGCGCGGTGACGCGCGGCACCGTGCGGGGTTCCTCGCGGTTCAGTGCGTCATGCTCCTCAGTGCCTCGTGATGGTGGTGTGTTGTGTACTGTGTGCTGCCCAGACTGGCGACGAGCTCGGTGTCCAGCACGGTGGCCAATGACTCCTTCCCCCTCCCCCTTCCACACCTGTGTTGTGCACTGTGTGGTGCCCAGGCTGGCGACGACTTCGGTGTGCAGCACGGTGGCCAATGGCTCCGTCCCCCTCCCCCTTCCACACCCCTCCAGGCGTGGCCGAAAACCTGAGAAACCAGCCAGAGATCGTGGGAAAGGCTCCAGCAAGCTCCCAATGACTATGCGAACCTCCAGAAAGGCAGGCGAACCTTCGAAAACATCGATGTACACACACGCATCCCGAAAGCCTTCCGAGCACCCCCGAAAGCATCCGACAACAACCGAGAACGTCTGCCAACTTTCAAGCACGATCGCTCGGAAACCACCCGAATGCACCCGAGAGCATCCGTAAACTGCAGAGGAGCTCCGCACCCCCCCCCCCGCAAACAAACAAAAAACGGGCGAAAGACCGAACCATATGCAGCTGCGAGTAACGCAGGGTATGACCCTCTCCCCGAGACTAGCGCGACGCGAAAGGGATGAAAGCTGGAGCTGGCTGTCTGACTGGCTGGCTGGCTGGCTGGCTCCGAGCGGATGAGGGCCGCGAAACGAGCAAGGTATGTGACAAAGTAGGCACGGTGCCGCCATGCGAACCCTGGCAGTTGGGCCGTCGGTGGGGCTCCCCATGGGGCGACGAAACGTGTGAGAAATATGCCAGGCTAGGCGTCGTCGCACATGCGAGCCCTGCCATGTGGGCTTGCGGTGGAGCTCCCCCTGAGGCCACGAAGCGGGTGAGGAGTGTGCCGAAGTGGGTGCGGTGCAGCCGTGCGAACCCTGTCATCTGGCCCTTCGGTGGAACTCCATATGGGGCCACGACACGAATGAGGTTCATGCCGACATGGTGCGGTGCCGTCATGCGAACCATGAGATTGAGCCTTCGGTGGGGCGGACGGGGCCACAGAACGCGTGAGGGTTGTGCCGAAGTGGGTGCGGTGCCGCCATACGAACCCTGCCGTTTGGATCTGCAGTGAAGCCCCCTGTGGGGCCACGAAGCTTGTCAGGGGCGTGGTGGGAAGGATGTGCTGAGAGCAGAAGCATGAATGGGAGGAGGGAGGAGGAGTGGGAAGGGAGGCGAGGAGGTGACGCGGAGAGCTGGTTCTTCAAAACGAAGACCCAACACCACAGGATGGTGGGGAACAAATCGTTCGGACACAATCCGAATGTCTCCGAGAGTCTCCAAAAACCGCCGAAGACCTCCAGGAACCCAGGGGGTGCCTCATACCTGTCACGGCGGTGGGCGACGCAAGTAACCCAATCCGCAGGCAAGAACGATTGAGAAAGTGGTCGAGGAGGAGTTGCTCTAGATATCGCCTCGACGTCAAACCCTGCAGCGCACGACAGCGAAGCTGCGCTGCAGCGTGAGACTGAAGACAGCACGACGGCCGCTGGAATGCAGAATCGACGTACCCAGCCGAACTAAATCACAGCAAGTCGTGACGAGGAAGCGGAGGAGGCGAGAGCAACAGCAGGAGAGAGAGAGAGAAAGGACCCAAAAGGCCTGGAGCACGTTCCAGTGCATGTGTGCGCACAGCGCCATAGACTATTCCACCGCCTCGCACGCCAGTGCAGACTGAATTGCACATGAAACCCTCGACAGCAGGCAGGCCGTGCCCCACGAAACCAAAACACGGCAGCCGAACGGAAAAACGGGCGAAAGAAGACGAGGACGAGGACAGGAGCGAGAGAGAGGACAGCACATTCCCAGTCACCAGGCCCCGCATAGAGGGGCAACGAGAAGAGGGCAGTCACAGAACAGTTGGTCAAAGGTATGGTTATATGTAGTGGGGCGCCAAAGCGCTCAAAAACTGGCCAAACACCCTAGGGCGGCAGAAAGTCAAGCCCGCAGCCTCGAATGCGGAGCGGGGTCGGCTGACCACGGCCAGAGGGTGGTCGAGGGGGAAGAAGAGGAGGAGAAGGAGGAGGAGGAGGAGGAGGAGGAGACCGAACCGACGAAGCGCATCCGCAAGAGGGCACAATTGCCCTGAATATGCGATTCCCAAAACCTCCCAGGTGGGAAAAAAGCGTCTGCGCTGTATGTTTGGTACCCAGATGCGTATATATGTGCGAATACGTGCATCTACATGTACATGTCCGTGCACACGATAATTCTGCATATGTAAACGTATATGTACACATATGCTTACAAATGTATATGTACACACGTAACCATTTACATGTACAGACGCATAACCATATACGTAAGCGTAAACCCATACGTTTATATGTGCATGTACAGACACATATGTGTACAGATACACGTGCACCAATATACACTATCGTAAGCAAATAACTGAATCATACCTAAACACAAAAACAAGTACACGTACAAGCGCCTAACATGTACGTACATGCATACACCCATGCATACGCATACACTTACATACGCACATGCATACATACACACACAATAACCATCGCGCGCGCCTCGCGCGCGCTCAAGTTCTAGCTAGGCTCGACAGGTTGACGCATGGAACCTCCATTCTTGAAATGCCGTGTGTATATAAAGACCTTCTTGGAGTTCCTGCGCAAGCCTCGGAAGTGTATAGAAGGAGAAATACGAAAACCACAACATCATAGATTTCCGTTAGATGTCCGATGGTTTGGGGCCCTCGGAGGTTTCCTGTGATCTTTCTTCGGTAGTGACGGGGGCCTTACTCATGGTCGGTTGTGCAAGTACAAGCCGGGGGTAAGCTTACAATTACCCTGTGGCGTACCCAGCCCATTCGCATCAAGTGGCAAGAGGAATTGGCCCAAACTTGCCAGGACAATGACAGTGCAGTCGCTGTTATATGTTGTGCAAGCTGCATGGAACGCGGTCACGTGGCATGAACCACACGACAACAACAGAAGGACGAGGAGCGAGCGCCCAGGCTTGAGGAAGACACGGGGGCGGGAACGAAAGGCAAGAAAAGGACGCGCGGGGGGGGCGACCCGACAGCGAGGCAGCAGGTGGCAGGGGGCAGACGACGGCGACGCAAGCGACGGGAGGAGGCCGAAGAGTGCTGCCTTTGTCGGTATTGCGCTAGAGATGCAGCGCTGCTTGCGCCATGTCGCCACGGCGCTTAAAAGTAGCTCCTCCTCCTCCTCCTCCTCTTCCTCCTCCTCCTCCTCCTCCTCCTCCTCCTCCTCCTCCTCCTCCTCGAAAAGTAGCTCAAAATAAGTGAAGCTGCTTAAAAGTAGTTCGAAAAGCGAGCGAGGCCTCGCTCGCCCGCCAGATGCCCTGCTTCCCTCTGGCACTCTGCAGTGCGGGAGCTGAACGCTCGAAGGCGCGCCGCCAGGTCTGCGGGCGGTCCGCGAAGGAGCCCCGCTGGATCCACCTGCAACCCTTTTTGTTTTTTGACATCCCAAGAACGTCGAACCACCATTCGCCTCTTCGCGCCAGAGTGGGCCCTACCTCGGCGGGAAAGCGGGGAAGCTGGACTGCAGATTTCCGCGAGGATCCACCTGCAACCCTTGAAAGTGGCGACCGTTTCGCAGATCGCAGCCCCCCAGGGATGGCGAGGCTGAAACTCTCAGCAGCCCTCGAAAGTGGCGAAAGTGTCGCACATCGTAGCCTCCCAGGGATGGCGAGGTCAGATCTGAGTTTGGGTGGCGCGTCACTCCGCTGAACCCCCCAGGGCCTCCAAAGTGGCGACCATTTCGCAGATCGCAGCCCCTCAGAGATGGCGAGGTCTTATCTGATTCTGCGCCGGGTACCCACTATGCTGGTCCCCCCAGCGGCCCTCGAAAGTGGCGACCGTGTCGCAGACCGCAGCCCCCCAGGGATGGCGAAGTCTAATCTGAGTCTGCGGCGGGTACCCACCATGCTGGTCCCCCCAGCAGCCCTTGAGAGTGGCGACCGTTTCGCAGACCGCAGCCCCCCAGGGATGGCGAGGTCGCATCTGAGTCTGCGGCGAGTACCCACTTTGCTGGTCCCCCCAGCAGCCCTCGAGAGTGGCGACCGTTTCGCAGACAGCAGCCCTCCCCAAAGATGGCGAGGTCTAATCTGAGTCTGCGGCGAGTACCCACTTTGCTGGTCCCCCCAGCAGCCCTCGAGAGTGGCGACCGTTTCGCAGACCGCAGCCCCCCAGGGATGGCGAGGTCGCATCTGAGTCCGCGGCGGGTACCCACTTTGCTTGTTCCCCCAGCAGCTCTCGAGTGGCAACCGACTCGCAGACTGCAGCCCTCCCCAGGGATGGCGAGGTCGCATCTAAATCTGCGGCGGGTACCCACTTTGCTGGTCCCCCCAGCAGCCCTCGATACTCACCAGGGATGGCGAGGTCTAATCTGAGTCTGCGGCGGGTCCCACTTTGCTGGTCCCCCCAGCAGCCCTCGAGAGTGGCGACCGTTTCGCAGACCGCAGCCCCCCAGGGATGGCGAGGTCTAATCTGAGTCTGCGGCGGGTACCCACTTTGCTGGTCC